TAAAGGAATTCTCATTTTGCAATAATAAGATTTATTATTAAGCATTAATGATATCTCCGAAAATATTAGGTCTTAGCTTTATTTTTCTTCCTTTCTTTTCCATTTATCTTTTCCTATTTTCGCGTAAATACCGTGGCACGAAATAAAAGGCTCAGTCGAGGAGTGTTTTGTTTGCTCCTCCCCTTTGCATCGGGCCCTACTCTAGAGGTACAGCTTGGACGCAGACGCGACAGTCGTTATCAAATCATCAGAGAGTGCAGTCGCTGTCTCAAATCGCTGAATCTTATAATTATAAAGGAAAAGTAAAAGGAAAGAAAAAGGAAATTACTAGAATTCTAATACCTTTAATAACTTACTTCTAACAATTTAAGATAATTATTGCTTCTAATATTATTTGGAATATTATTTGTGTCACGGCTATCTACATCTTATAATTTTGAGTGAAGGAATGCGCGTAATATGATAAAATATTGATTTATTGATTTATTGATTGAATTCTTGTCGGTACCAGGCTTCGATTGTTACCAATGAAGATTCAGATGACACGTCTGAGAAAGAACCTTCCCTTTCTTAATTATGGGTTTGAAAGAAGGAAGTGATGAGAAGCTCGCGGGAATTCTGACCATTTCCACCTATAAATATGCGTGCGGAAAAAGCGGCCGCGGCCTTTCTTCGGTACTAACTAGGCGGTGACATTAGTTTGTGGCGCGTGATCAACCTTAGGGTTAAATTCTTAAATTTATAATCAATTTCTGTAATATTTCTCTTAGGAGAATTTAAAAGCCTCCTCGACTAAATAAAGGTAATTTTAAATTAAAATAATTGGGAAAACTGAAATCTTAAATTCTTCTTAATTAAAATCAAGATCATAATTCTAAATCCAAAACCGGTCGCTAACAATAGCGTAGCGTACCATTTAGTCGCAGCCAATGGTGTTGCGACTGAATAATTTGAATTTAGAATCTTAATAATAAATAATTATTTTCAAACGTATTCATGCCCAAAAGAGGAGGGCGCAAAGTTCAAATTAAAAGATTAAGATTTCAGTTAAATCCAATGATAATTTTAAATAAGAATCCCCTCTCATTGTTCCTAAAACTTAAGAATTTGGAAAGACAAACTAAAATTAAAATAATTAAGCAAATTCCTAAATATAAATTAAGAAAAATTGATTTCGATGTAAATTATCCAAATTATAATCAAATTAATAAAAAAGATCCTCGATACAAAATTTATAAAATTCGTTTCCTATTTGGGGTTGATTAATTCACAAACTAATCCAATCCCAGAGTAAAGTATTTAAATGTATTGATCTAAAAACGGACAATCAAGACATAACATTTGCTTATATTATATTAATTGATTTTCTCATATTATATTATTCGATTTGCTTATATTATACTATTGATTTTCTTATATTATATTATTTTACCTGCTTATGTTGTATTATTGATTTTCTTT